GACATGTGAGAGCAATTTAATTTGGAAGAACAAAGAGAAGGGTTATTGTGTGTATATCTGAACACATATCAAAGACCCTCAGACTAAAGGCTTCACAGACATTAAACATTGAGATTTAGCGGCATTTATTGAACACACTGGCAATGTTGTGAACAGTGTGATGTCTTTCAAAATAATCAACAGGCAAAATAAAAACCATCTAGCTAACTACGTTTTGCTGAGGCGATCGCCATCAAACGGTTATAAACAAAATTGTGTACTCAGAAAGTGATAGTGGCTAGAGTCTTACATTGCCACGGTGATAACAAAGTTAACATGTCGCGATAAAAATGTATAATCACATCCCCAATGTTATCTTAACTTTATTCTGGTGTTGTTCAGGTTGTATGTAGACAGTTGAGAAGAATCCCTGAAATAGTGAAACACGACTTCATACAATATTCACACAGATTCGTCTCTAAGTCGTTCCTAACTACTCATTATCACATTAATTTTTATCAGATAATTTTCAGTAACAAAAAACTTCACTCTGATCTATTCACATACTCTTATCACTTTGCAAACACATTCTACTATCTTACCTCATCTTATCTGATGGTAGGTATTAGTAACAGAAAGAAAAGGAAGGCACAATTGCTGTATGCAGTAGTTTCTCTACAAGTCACCATGGCTACCATCTCTCCTGCAGTAACTCAGGAATTCTTATCACTTATATACAACATAAACTGACTGAGGCTTTTTATCAACCAAAAAAGAAACAGCATTGTTAGAAAAATCACATAACAGTCGTGTGACTTTAGCGTTCGATGTCATGACTGAGAGACTGTGAAGAGATCTAGATTAGACGTAGTCTGTCACAGATCCTCTGAGATTTTTCATGACAGTCATATTTACCTCTCAATAAAGCACTAAGAAGAAGACAAATGCCGTGAGACGATGATATCATTTCGTAGTTTTTATACATTCGCCTAACAACTAGCAAAGTTTCACTGTAATGAAATGTATGACAATTACTCAGTTATACACACTGATCATTAGTCAGTCATATTTTAGTAGGTAAAGTAGTCCAGGTTGTAGTAAAAATGCTGTAGTCTAATGTATTTCTTTCTGTGCAAATAGTTTGGAATGCGTGTGATCAATCCAAAGTGATTCCATAATTACCCTTAATGACCGACCTCGACTTAGAGTTATGTGAAATAGTTGAGAAGCAGTCATTTTGTAAGCAGACATGGTTTAATGCTTCCTAATAGTTCACGTCGTATTCCTCTTCCATACATTTCGGGCCTTTTCGATTTTTCAACCTACGATTACACATCGAAATCCTGTGGATGCTACTTCACCTGTAGTTGTGGTGACATGTTTACACGTGGAACAGATGGAATGTTCCAATGTTGTCGTCAGAATGAACATATTTTTAAACTCTTATGAAGTTATATAAAAAGTCCAAATGTACTTATTCTGAATACAAGCACATCATTACCATCCGTAGCGAGGCACTTATTAGTGTCTGGTCACAAAATCAATATTTATTTACGACACCTTCTCAATTATTTCACATAATTCTGAGTCAAGATTAGTCAATAAAGGTGATGATGGAAGCACTTTGGATTGATCCCGTGCATTCTAAACTATGTCTGCAGAAAGCAATAAATAGGCTCCAAATTTATCTTACAACCTGAGCTACTTGACTTACCGGTAACTATGTCTTTTTAGATATTATAGAGAAGATTTGTAGCTCAGGTGGATGATTTTGATGTGGTTTTGTTCTCTGAGTTGGATGGTTAGTTTGCGAAGCTTTCATCACCTTACTGGGTGACATCTTCAGCGCATACTTCAAATTGAAGTATGCGCTGAAGATGTCACCCAGTAAGGTGATGAAAGCTTCGCAAACTAACCATCCAACTCAGAGAACAAAACCACATCAAAAACTATGTCTTTTTGTTTGCAAGCGTATTTGTGTAATCCTCCTATGAATGTTGGATGTTTTACATTCCTAATTATTAACTAAGTGATATCATTCCTGAACAGTGTTAGTTTTAGTTTCTGTCATCAGTTACTGCGTGTCATCGCGATAAAAATGTATGTTCACATCTTTAATGTAATTTGTATCTTCCGAGGAATTTTAAAAATTCCCTTTGAGTCGTATAAAAGAAAAGGCGTTCACGAAGAGTTACTCTTTCCGGTGAAAACACATACTGGGTGGAACTGACTGGTCACGACCTCTCAGTAGTACTTCAGGGAACTCCGTCCTGTATCAAGTCACTAGCGAGCACCAGATTAATTTTATTTAGTGGATTTGTAAGGATTAATTTGGTTTTTACGAGTTTACCACGGATTGATATCAGTTGGAGAGCCATTGAAAGTTAGAATTCATGAGACATTGAATCGGATCCCAGTGGCTGAATGGTATACGAGCTTGCTGGCCTTGTAACCTGAAGGTCCTGGGTTTGAACCCTGGTGATAAGTGCGTACCATCGATGATTCCCAAACTAGGACGGATGAAACAGCTGTCCAGTACTCCCAGATGGTGGTTTCAATGTTTCTCTAACTGATAGCAATCCATGGTCAAACTTGTAAGAAGAAATTTCATCCTTACAAACCAATTCTTGAGAATTAATCTGCTGCTCGCTACTGGCTTGCCACAGGACGGAGTTTCTTGGAGTTCTAGTGAGAAGTTGTGACCAGGGAAGTCAATTCAGTCGGAAGTGAGGATGAAGTTCCCATCGACGACATTGGCTGGTGATCGCACTAAACTCATCACGAATTGGTTAGAATTCATGTTATGGTCATTTAGGAGTTGGGGTCCAAGTGATGGCTGAGGGGTATACGAGTTAACTTGCCTTGTAACCAGAAGGTCCTAGGCTAAAACCTTGGCGATGTGTATGTACTACTGTTGAGTCCCTAACTAGGAGGGGGTAAACAGCTGTCCAGTACTCCCCGGTTTTCAATGGTTCTCCAACTGCTATCAATCCGTAATCAACTCGTAAAAGAAAACGCATGCCAAAAGAAAATGATTGACAGTTTCTGGTTTTACAAAATAATACACGGACGATACTTTCATTATTTCCAATAAAATGAGGAGAATTTGGAGGATATTTTGAATCATTTTTAGCAGCTGCTATCCTGGCGATTTAGTTCACATTACAGATGTAGTCTGATCCAAAGATGTCTTTTCTGGAAGTCCAGTTAACAAGACGTGAACAAGATGGAACGCTAAAAGGATCTATCCACGGAAAGCCAGCATGGGACGGACAACTCATTAACTTTCATAGTTCGATGCCTCTATGCCTCCACCTCGAAAATGGCTACCCAGAACATCGTTTCATCACAAAATTCATGAAACTTAAACTATTAAAACCTCACACACTTTCTGCTACCGAAAAAATTCTCTATTTGAATCTACAATTCAATAGAGAATCATCAACAGAAATATTGAGAAACCAACTTTCACGCTTACTGAAGAAAACTTTTTTCAAATAACTTTCTCCACAAAACTAATGATCTGCATGAAAGTGTAGAATAAGCTACCAAATACTGGGCTCATCAATGTGAATCTACCAATTCACTTGCTCCTGTGGAGCTAAGTATTCAGGTAGTAACCAGAGTTTGCTATCCAAACAGTTTGCAATCCATCAGTGTGTAAGGAGAGATAATGAAAGGAAAGTGTGTCTCTAACCTCTCTTTTTAAACTTTATTTTAATTTTCTGGTCTTAGAGCATTATAAACGATTGTTGGTGGGAATCTATTTGAAAAATGCAATTTCGGCTTCAGCCCTTAGTGCCTCAGATGATCGCACAGTGGTTAGGATGCTCGCCGATCATGCATATGGTCCGGAGTTCTATCCTCTACTGACACACACCCGAAATAAATGGTCGGCCTGCAAAATTTGGGCTACCGGTATCATATGCTGAAAATTCCATACTTGTACCAAAAATACGGTGTGGAGTCAAGTTATAATCAAAATAAAATAAAGTAGATAAACTAGAGCGAACGCCGGCTACACAAAGTCCTCCCATAATCGTTACCTTCTTATTATTATTCCTTCAGATTCCCCAAGGGGCTTCAAGATTCAGCTTTGAAGTTCCAGTAGCCATGATGACATTTCTTCTAAGGGGTGGGGTTGATAACCTCACACACAACTTTACATCTTTATCGAGCTCACTGCCGGCTAAACCAGGTTTAGGTGTGGGTCGGCTGGGACTCGGACCCCAGACCACGTGTGTGGTTGGCGAGCATTCTGTTGCCGAACCACGGACTCAAGCGCATGATCAGATTTGAACAACCGATAGTTTCTTCACTGCTCTTATAACTAATATAAAACAAACGATGTACTCGGAATGATTTCCCTTATAGAGATGAATAGTGCTATCTACAACACAATTCATGTTATTTGTCGGCTGGTATAATAAAATTGTTTCAAACATCTCTTACAGATCAGTAGTACATCTAAAGTTTTATGAAATTCTGTGTTATCGATAATCAGCATTTCATAACTACAATGCAGGCAGGTGTTAAATTGAACTGCTCCAGAAATAAATCCGATCTTTAGTAAGCATAACTGAGGTGAAATTGGTAAGATGAAACGCCTTTGTCTCCTGAATTTCGTCGACTTCTTAAATGCAACGACCTGTATCACATCAAGAGTCAGTAGAGTAACGAATACGTATAGCTAGATCGTTGGTGGTACAGCGGTTAGAACGTTCGCCGACCATGCACATGTTTCGAGGTTTGATCCCCGGCCACAGACGCACTCCTTTACCTCGCGAAGCAGATAATGAAGCTGGTATACAGAAAAAGTTGGGCATGAGGTCAGCAACCCCATCTTATAAAGAAAAAAAACCACTGCTACAGAAACTTGAAGCCTCCAGCTTGAGGTCTTATGTTCCACTGGGAGTGTGAAGGAGTTAAAAAAATAGCCACTTCTCCACTCTACTTTCAGGCAAATGTCAACAATTCCATTTTCAGGATTAAAAAATCGTTGATATCACTACTTTACTTACCCAACTGCAATGAACTGACCCGCATTCAAAGGTTGTCTAGCCAGCTGTGTTACAAAACAAACTGCAGATGCAATAAATGCAGCAGATCCATTGGCATTGAAACTTGTTAAAAATGGTGCCACAGTACGTACAAGATCTGGATCTATACCATATCGATCACAGACTCGAAAAAGTTGTGGCAGAGCAATTAAGCTGAACAATGTATATATGAAAAATGAATATATACTACAGGTTAGAAAAATACACACAGATGTACATGTACGTTCTGAAGTTTATCAAATAAGGTTACTTTGAAAATCTAATTAGTAAATAAAAGACAGCAAACACAAACACATCAATAAAAAATATTTGCAAAAGTAGATCAAGTGGATATTGTGAAATGGTCGCACTATGTCATGAATTGTCAGAAGTTAGGATTCATGGACTGGCCATTGGATCGGGTTGGCTTAATGGTCTACGATCTTGCTCGCCTTGTAATCAGAAGGTCGTGGGTTCGAACCCTGGCTGCGGGTGAATACCACTGAAGAGTACCAAACTGGGACAAGACAGCTGCCTAGTACTCCCAGCTGGTGGTTTCCCAATGGTTCTTCAACTGATGTCAGCTCATGATGAAATCATCTATCCAATCAAAAGTAGATAAGTTCAAACTGTTACACTTTAGAATAACACAGGGGAAAAAAGAAAGGTAGAAATGTAATGATGAATCCTACAGACACTCACAACTACATCAGAATGAAGAGAACAATATAGTCGAAGTCACAGAAGTCCTCAAAATTTAGACATTTAAAGAGTTAATACACTGTACTACTGTAAAAGACTTCTGTAGATGTTGCCAGGGTGTTTCCAACCATTGTTTATTGTCATCTAACTCCTGTCTATGTGACATAAACCCAGTCATACATTTTGTCAAAAAGGGGTTAACAACCTTCAGTTGAAGGATGATATTCACCTTCGTCACTTTCTCTATAACTGATTAGATAAAATAATGGATGCCTTTAGTGCAAAAATTTCATTATTATTCAGGTGAACTGTCGTCAAGATTTGACAGAATAGTTCTAAAATATTTAGGCGCCGAGTGAGAAGTAGACATTTGTAAAAAGTTATATTTGTGAAATCTCAGCGAGATTGAAATGAGTAATTCTAACGTTTCCTGCGTTCGACAATCTGGTCTCAACTTCTTCAGGGAAATTAATCGAAATTACCATGATAGAGGTTTATATATAACTTTCAAGTATTGGTTTATATATATAAATAAAAGGAACATCTCTTGTTTTTTAAAACTTTGTCCAATCATGAGTCATAAAACAAGTATCAACAAGTATAATAAACAAGGTTGTATGAGCTGTGATCAACAGAATGCATATCCTAAATCTGTAGCTGTCCAGTCAACTGACAACTCCAGTAGATCGAATAAATCAGCTGAATTTTCAGAAAGAAGACAAAGTAATAAGTTCGACAGGGTGCTTCAACTAAACTCTAATCCTAAACACCATAATTTTGAAAATACGTCTAATTATAAAATTCTAGATACTAGCAGTTTGAACAGACATGAAGGTGTGAGATGTTAGCTGATGCATAGGAAATCCTGATTAATAAATAAAAAGTGGATATGTATCACTAACTAATAACACTTGGTCAAAATTCCTGACTGTCTATATCTTCTTATGGAGACGTTAAGAAATTCCTTTACAACTGTTCACCCACAAACACATACACACTATGTTTAAAGTGTTTAACAAAGGTAGACCCATAATATTTGGAAGTCCGAGGTCAAATTTTGATCACAGCCCATACAATTTAGTATATTATACTTGTTTTATGACTCATGATTGGACAAAGTGGTTTTTAAAAACAAGAGATGTTCCTTTTCTATATATAAACCTCTGCTATGTTAGTTAATTTCGATTAATTACCCTGAAGAAGTTCGGACCAGATTGGCGAATGCAGGAAACGTTGGAATTACTCATTTCAATCTCGGTGAGACTTTACAAATATAATTTTTTTCACAAATGTTATTATTATGTTGAGTGAAAACTTTTGGCCTAATGCTCCTTCGGTTTTCATCAATAAGCTGGCAACTTAGGAAATCCTCAGCAAAAATAAACAGTAAAGTAAGACGTGCAATTAATGGTTTTCTCTGAGCTGGTTGGTTTAGTTGCGGAGCTTTCGTCGTCTTTCTGGACGACATCTTCAGCGCAGTATTTAGCATAAAGTTAAATGATTTAAAAATCTCCATGAATGATGATACAATTGAGTCTCCTGGTGACCAACCATCTTCACATATGTATTGACCGTTTTCTATTGATTGGGATTTTAAACTTTCTGGTCACCTGATTTACATTTTATTAGTTGGTAGATTTCATCTATATTAACGTGTTTATTAATGGCATTTTCGTTTGAGTACCAGGCTTCTAGGAATTTCCTGGCACATTTAGTGTTTCTTCTGTTTAAGATTTTGATATTATCCCAATCAAATTGATGTCCATAATTATCTGTATGCACTGATACTAAAGAATTTATACCATGTCTTTTCACGGCTGATTTGTGTTCACGGATTCTAATTCGAAGGGGACGTCCAATCTGGCCGATCTAATGCCTGTTCATACAGTCCATACAATTTATTTTGTAAATGGTATTAATTTTATCTCCTTTTTCTATCGGATCTTTTGGTTTGAATAAGATCGAATTAAGCGATTCGGCTGGTTTGTGTGCTGCATCTATATCAAACGGTTTTATTATTTTAGCCGTTATTTCAGAAATATTTCTGATGTATGGTAGGATGAATTTCTTTTTGGTCTTTGGTGATGGTTCTTTGTTGGTGCTTTGATTCGACTTTAAACACTTTTTGATGAAATTTTTTGGATAACCACTCTTCTTGAAGACCGTTTGTAAGTATTTTTCTTCCATTCTTTTCAACTCTGGTGTGCTACAACGTGTTTGAACTCTTCTAAACAATGTCTGCACGCAGTTTCTTTTGTGAGTAATTGGATTATTGCTAGAATAGTTGAGTATTTGATCTGTGTGCGTTGATTTTCTACATACTTGTGTTTCTTAATTTCCTGTGTTGGTTCTCCTGATTAAGACAGCTAAAAATGGGATTTTGTTATCTAATTCTTCTTCTCTTGTGGTGAATTTGATGTCTTCAAATATGTTGTTTATTAATTTATGGGTATATTCTAAATCGTTTTTCTTAATTATTACAAATGTATCATCAACGTAGCGTACCTGTCCAGATTTTCGGTTTAATTATAGGTAGAGCTATTAATCCCAATCAATAGAAAACAGTCAATACATATGTGAAGATGGTTGGTCACCGGGAGACTCAATTGTATCATCATTCATGGAGATTTTTAAATCATTTAACTTTATGCTAAATACTGCGCTGAAGATGTCGTCCAGAAAGACGACGAAAGCTCCGCAACTAAACCAACCAGCTCAGAGAACACTATTAATTGCAAATCATCCACCTGAGTTACAAATCTTTTGTATTATTTCAAAAGTAAGACGTGGTTGTAGTCTAAGTGAGTGTTGTAAAAGGAACAGTGGTCTTCCACAAATCTTCTCAATCGATAATTATTGCATAATGATCTCTCTGTCTACTGTTTTCTTGATATTGATAGCTAGCTATCAAATGAAACAGTGCTGCCTCGTATTGTAAAGTTATTACTCCGGTCAAACACTGGTAACTGTATGAATAGAACATAAATGGAACGTACGCTCACCCGTCCGTGTTGATTCGTTTGCATAGGACCCGATAGATACCTAGCAAATTTCTGAGGATTTCACACCCACAGACTAAGATGCCAGAGTGTTAACTGATGGATAAGCTGTTTATTGCTCAACTCAGAGCAGGGTTAGGACATTGTGGGGTTCAGTGTGTAGTTGACAGAGTGGTTTTAAAAGACTGGGTATGGGGTATTCCAATTATCTGAGATAACAAAAGCAGAAGAGACTACAAGAAAAGTGTCATTAACAGTATGATAAGAGAAGATGAAGATCGAGGAAGAGGCAAAGATGGATAGATCATGGTTTCTCAGTATGCAGTTAATCACACACACACACACACACACACGACATCCTGTAGATGGGATCTATCAAGTCTTATGTGTTGGAGGACTGACGTCTCGCAACCTTCAATTATCTAGGCAACCAGCATTGTTTCAACCACAGGCAGTCGTCAGAACGGATGAAGACATCAAAAACAGCTAGACAGACAGAATCGGAAAGGCACAATACGCCTTCATCAACCTGGAAACAGTTTGGAAATCTTCTTCTATGACTCAGCCAGCCAGCATGAACAACAAGATTTAGATTCTATTCAACACAAATGTGAAGTCAGTCAGTCACTTCTTCTATATGGGTCAGAAAGTTGCACTACGGGTCAAGAAAAGGATCTCCAACAGTTCACTGCTGCCACTGGTTGGCTCCACACTGAAGATGGAATGGCCAGAAACAATAAATTTTAACAAAAAGCCAATCGAGAGCCGATCGCTCAACAAATATGTAGGAGAAAATGGAGATGGATCAGGCATACACCACTGAGGTGGCCGCCGAATGATATCGCACGCCAGATCCTTCCAGTGGGATCCCAATGGGAAGAGACGATTGGGTTGTCAGTGCGCGAGTAACATGGAGGAGATCGTGTGAGGAAGCGCGATGAGAGAGTTTGGTCAATCGTCGACCCAGCTAAAGAGGACCGCAGAAAACAGAACAAAGTGGAGGTATGTTGTTGAAGCCGTATGTTCCACTCTAAACGCAAGGGAATAATAACAATAATAAACTTTTTTTAGGATTTCACATCCACAGATTAATATGTCAGTGTTAGCTGATGGAAGAACTGCTTATTGTTCAACTCAGAGTAGGGTAAGGACATTGTGAGCTTCAATGTGTAATTGACAGAGTGGTTTTAATAATCGTAGAATCAAAAACAGAAGAGACTACAAGAAAAATAGCATTAACAGTGTGCTAAGAGATGATGACGTTCGACAAAGAGGCAAAGATGAATAGATCATGGTTTTTCAGAATGTAGTCAATCACACACACACACACGAACCCACATACTGTAGATGGGATCTATCAAGTCGTATGTGTTGAAGGACTGACCTTTCGCAACGTTTCACACTCCACAGAAATGGAAGGTAATATAACACTTAGTTGTTGTTTGATTTTTCCTACTCTTCTCTTTCTCTCTC